TAATATTAGTATGTGTACACTAATACTAACTAATTTTAGTTTGTTTACACTAATACTAACTAATATTAGTATGTGTACACTAATACTAACTAATATTAGTATGTGTACACTAATACGAACTAATATTAGTATGTGTACACTAATACTAACTAATATTAGTATGTGTACACTAATACTAACTCATATTAGTATGTGTACAATAATACTAACTAATATTATTATGTGTACACTAATACTAACTAATATTATTATGTGTACACTAATACTAACTAATATTAGTGTGTGTACACTAATACTAACTAATATTAGTACGTGTACACTAATACTAACTAATATTAGTATGTGTACACTAATACTAACTAATATTAGTATTTTAAAAACTAACACTAACGAATATTAGTATTTTATGAACTAACACTAACGAATATTAGTATGTGTACACGAATTCTAACCAATATCAGTATGTGTACACTAATACTAACTAATATTAGTATTTTAGAAACTAATACTAACTAATATTAGTATTTTATGAACTAATACTATCTAAAATTAGCATGTGTACACTAATACTAACTAATATTAGTATGTGTACACTAATACTACATAATATTAGTGTGTGTACACGAACACTAACTAATATTAGTCTGTGTACACTAATACTAACTATTATTAGTGTGCGTACACTAATACTAACTAATATTAGTATTTTATAAACTAATACTAACTAATATTAGTATTTTATGAACTAATACTAACTAATATTAATGTGTACACTAATACTAACTAATATTAGTATGTGTACACTAATAGTAACGAATATTTGTTTGTGTTCCATAATACTAAGTAATATTATTATGTGTACACTAATGCTAACTAATATTAGTATGTGTACACTAATACTAACGAATATTATTATTTTACAAACTAATACTAACAAATATTAGTATGTGTACACAAATACTAATTAATATCAGTATGTGTCCACTAATAATAACTAATATTAATGTGTGTACACTAATACTAACTAATATTAGTGTGTGTATACTAACACTAACTAATATTAGTGTGTGTACACTAATAGTAACTAATATTAGTGTGTGTAAACTAATACTAACTAATATTAGTATGTGTACACTAATACTAAGGAATTAGTATTTATACAATAATACTAACTAATATTAGTATGTGTACACTAATATTAACTAATATTAGTATGTGTACACTAATACTAACTAATATTAGAATGTCTGCACTAATTCTAACTATTATTAGTATGTGTACACTGATACTAACTAACAGTAGTATAGGTACACTAATACTAACTAATATTAGTTTGTGTACAATATTACTAACTAATTATTATGTGTACACTAATACTAGCTAATATTAGTATTTTAAAAACTAATGCTAACTAATATTAGTATGTGTACACTAATACTAACTAATATTAGTATGTGTACACTAATACTAACTAATATTAGTGTGTGTAAACTAACACTAACTAATATTAGTGTGTGTACACTAATACTAACTAATATTAGTGTGTGGAAACTAATACTAACTAATATTAGTATGTGTACACTAAAACTAAGGAATATTAGTATTTATACAATAATACTAACTAATAATAGTATGTGTACACTAATGCTAACTAATATTAGTATGTGTACACTAATATTAACTAATATTAGTATGTGTACACTAATACTAACTAATATTAGAATGTCTGCACTAATTCTAACTATTATTAGTATGTGTACACTAATAGTAACGAATATTTGTTTGTGTTCCATAATACTAAGTAATATTAGTATGTGTACACTAATGCTAACTAATATTAGTATGTGTACACTAATACTAACGAATATTATTATTTTACAAACTAATACTAACAAATATTAGTATGTGTACACAAATACTAATTAATATTAGTATGTGTCCACTAATAATAACTAATATTAGTGTGTGTACACTAATACTAACTAATATTAGTGTGTGTATACTAACACTAACTAATATTAGTGTGTGTACACTAATACTAACTAATATTAGTGAGTGTAAACTAATACTAACTAATATTAGTATGTGTACACTAATACTAAGGAATTAGTATTTATACACTAATACTAACTAATAATAGTATGTGTACACTAATGCTAATTAATATTAGTATGTGTACACTAATACTAACTAATATTAGAATGTCTGCACTAATTCTAACTATTATTAGTATGTGTACACTGATACTAACTAACAGTAGTATAGGTACACTAATACTAACTAATATTAGTTTGTGTACAATATTACTAACTAATTATTATGTGTACACTAATACTAGCTAATATTAGTATTTTAAAAACTAATGCTAACTAATATTAGTATGTGTACACTAATACGAACTAATATTAGTATGTGTACACTAATACTAACTAATATTAGTGTGTGTAAACTAACACTAACTAATATTAGTGTGTACACTAATACTAACTAATATTAGTGTGTGTAAACTAATACTAACTAATATTAGTATGTGTACACTAAAACTAATGAATATTAGTATTTATACAATAATACTAACTAATAATAGTATGTGTACACTAATGCTAACTAATATTAGTATGTGTACACTAATATTAACTAATATTAGTATGTGTACACTAATACTAACTAATATTAGAATGTCTGCACTAATTCTAACTATTATTAGTATGTGTACACTGATACTAACTAACAGTAGTATGGGCACACTAATACTAACTAATATTAGTTTGTGTACAATATTACTAACTAATTATTATGTGTACACTAATACTAACTAATATTAGTATTTTAAAAACTAATGCTAATATTAGTATGTGTACACTAATACTAACTAATATTAGTATGTGTACACTAATACTAACTAATAATAGTATGTGTACACTAATGCTAACTAATATTAGTATGTGTACACTAATATTAACTAATATTAGTGTGTGTACACTAATACTAACTAATATTAGTGTGTGTAAACTAATACTAACTAATATTAGTATGTGTACACTAAAACTAAGGAATATTAGTATTTTATAAACTAACACTAACGAATATTAGTATGTGTACACGAATTCTAACTAATATCAGTATGTGTACACTAATACTAACTAATATAAGTATTTTAGAATCTAATACTGACTAATATTAGTATTTTATGAACTAATACTATCTAAAATTAGTATGTGTACACTAATACTAACTAATATTAGTATGTGTACACTAATACTACATAATATTAGGGTGTGTACACGAATACTATCTAATATTAGTCTGTGTACACTAATACTAACTATTATTAGTGTGCGTACACTAATACTAACTAATATTAGTATTTTATAAACTAATACTAATATTAGTATTTTATGAACTAAAACTAACTGATATTAGTATGTGTACACTAATACTAATATTAGTATGTGTACACTAATACTAACGAATATTTGTTTGTGTTCCATAATACTAAGTAATATTAGTATGTGTACACTAATGCAAACTAATATTAGTATGTGTACACTAATACACAACTAATATTAGTATGTGTACACTAATACTAACTAATATTAGTGTGTGTACACTAATACTCACTAATATTTAGTATGTGTACACCCCTTGACAAAGGAATTAGCATAGAATATAGTAACCATTGGAAAGATGTTTTAAACCATTTCGGTTCTTAATTAATTGTATTATACGATGACCTACAGACCGCAGCTCTTTCGCTGGCATTGACTCTTAATACCTCTCACACCACGGTTAATGGTATGGTTTACAACATGGAGTATAACAGCGCCTCGCAGCTGTCTCTCTTCCCCTCCTCTGTTCCGACCATGGATGAACTCGTCCGTCTGAACGGGGCCTGTAGCTATCTGTGTTGCTAAACTTGAGGGTAAGAATCCACCCATTTTTTTCGCCATATAGCATTGTGATATATAACGACTTATTGTTGGTAGCTTGCTGATTGGAGAATATATAGAGTTTATTGATAACATTGAGGTAATTTATATATATTTAATTGGTTTACTATATATTATTCATTATATATTGTAGTGTATCCCCAGTTACTGTGAATAGCTCAGATATGTAGGCCTTGACTTCAACATAGCCATTTCTGTGACCAGTCACAAGCTAATCACTTAGTTTTTTGCAATGTTAAATTCGCCTAGTTATTTCAATGCTGAATTATCCCGTTTGATTTGTACTAGGTGCCTCTGTGAATGTGTATGCTCTGACTCTAACATAGATATTTCTGTGACAAAAAACAAGCTAATCCCTCAGCTATATCAATGCTAAATTGTATGCTAATTCCTTTGTTAAGGGGTGCCTCTGCGGATGTGTATGCTTTAACTTAGCTATTTCAATGCTAAATTCTATGCTAATTCCTTTGTCAAGGGGTGCCTCTGCGGATGTGTATGCTTTAACTTTAACATAGCCATTTCTGTGACCAGTCACAAGCTAATCACTCAGCCATTTCAATGCTAAATTCTATCCTAATTCCTCTGTCAAGGCACCTTGTTTGCTCGCACACAGCTCAAAGGTCGCGATCTGAGCGTGGCTTTTTCACTCCAGCGCTGTCCTCCAGACAGTCTCGTCCCTTCACCTGATGAAGGCCGCTTGTGTTGTGGCCGAAACGTCGTGATAAAATTAGTGTTATTTTATTTTATCAATTTATTATTTTATTCTCATTCTACGTGACTTTACCGAAAGAACCAAAGAAGATGAATCCTTGCAGTCACGAAAGCTTTAAATCGAAATTATTATTGGTATGTGTCCAGTAATACTAATATTTAGTGTGTGTACACTAATACTAACTAATATTAGTGTGTGTACACTAATACTAACTAATATTAGTATGTATACACTAATACTAACTCATATTATTGTGTGTACACTAATACTAACTAATATTAGTATGTGTACACTAATACTAACTAATCTTATTGTGTGTACACTAATACTCACCACAGATGGACGCTCACCGACTCTGGACACAAACTCAGCCCACGACGACCTCCAGATTTCCTCGGATCTCAGGACGGCGACGCTGAGCGATGTCCCCCAGGGTCGCCCCCATCACCCACACCGCTTTGATGTCTATCCACAAGCGCTGTGCTCTGAGAGCTTCTCGTCGGGTCAGCACTACTGGGACGTGGACGTGGGGAGCGCGAGGTGGTATCGGGTTGGAGTCGCGTGCGGGACGATCCCACGGAGAGGGGGTGGTGCTGAGTGCCACCTGGGAGAGAGTGACGTCTCCTGGTGTCTAGAGAAACGTGGCGACAGCTTCTCAGTGCTGCATGGCGGGGTAGCGACGTCACTGTCGGTGCCGCAGCCTCCGCGGAGAGTCGGGGTTCACCTGGACTGTGACGCGGGGCTGCTGTCGTTTTACAGCGCCGACTCGATTGCGCCGTTGCACTCGTTTCACCAAACATTCACTCAGCCCCTACACCCGGGGCTGGGGGTGTGGTGGGGGTTGTTCGGGGGTAATGTTGGTGACTCAGTGAGGATCGTGGATCTGAGTGGTGCGTCCTGAGAGAGGTGAACGGGAACAGCGCAGATGGCAGACGCCACGACGCACGGCGCTCGCCACCCTCGTCACTGCCACGCGCAGCGCCACGCCCGTGACTGGCTGGTGGCGATCGGTGCCTGGGGGCTGCGTGGCTCTCCATAACAACGGGGTGGTTGAGCGTAAACAATCCTCACAATCTTTATTGGGTGGGGTGATAAAATAAGTACCGCTCTGTGTGTGTGAAGCCAGCGTGGATGTATTCACCCTGCCAGAGGAGTGTGACTGTGGTGTAGGGTGCAGTGATTAGCAATGGTGAACTGGGATTTGTTTATACACTGGTGGTGTCATGGGTTGTGGGAGAGATACAACAATAATAATATTAATAATTAAAAGTATAAATGTACGCGTACGACAGTGACATTGTAACGCTTGTATCGTTGATTCTACAATAAAAATACAGAACACAACAACAACAATGTAGTTGTGTACAGCGTCATTCGTGCTCACTGCATCTCGCAACACCGTTGATTAATTGAACACGAGGACAAAATCCTCTACACAGCCACTGCCAAGCAAATTAAATCTGCAAATTAATAAACAAATAAAGAGACGGCGCCAAACACAAAAGGCGCCACCAATGTCCCAGCTGTTCTAGTTGTCTGCTGCTAAATTTCGATTTAAAGCTTTCGTGACTGCAAGGATTCATTTTCTTTGGTTATTTCGGTAAGTCACGTGACTTTACCAAAAGAACCAAAGAAGTTGTCTGCTGCTGCGTCATGAACGTGGTGACGTCGCCACGCTCACTCCCCCAACGCGGTGACGTCACCATGCTCCCCCCTCTCCCCCTACCCCCACACGCGCTCCCCCGACGCCCGCCCCTCAGCACTGCACCATCTGTGAACACAAAGAGCTTCACAGCTCTACCTTCTACGTGACTTACCGAAAGAACCAATGAGTATGGATTCCTGCAGTCACGAAAGCTTCAAATTATTTGTAATTGTACAAGGATAACAATAAAATAAATACATTTATTATTCAGTTGTATGTTCAAGTGGATAATGTAATAGAACTTTATTTATCTTGATTTACTTATATTTAGTGACTTGCGTAACTTTTGAAAAAAAGCGAATTCTTCAGTCGGCTTTACCTGGTAAGATAAAACATCGATTAGTTGTATTTGTATATTTTGTATAATTCTACTTGCGTAGTTTTATAATTGACTTTTGACTCTCTTTTATACCCTTATCGGTTTTTATTTAGCATTGTTTGCTGCTGTAACTTGCCGTGACCCCGTGCCCTTACTGGACATCTGTTAGAACTTAAAGAGCTTCACAGCTCATCGTATTCCCCCTCCTGCAGCCTAAACCACGACTCTGACAGTGCGCAGCTGTGGCAGTGTGGGGCAGGGGGCTAAGTGGAGCAGAGAACTCGTCAGCTCCACTACATTGGTGGGCATGGAGTGGGGTGGTGGTAATAGTGGTGTTAGTGATGGTGGTTGTGTTGGGGGTAGTGGTGGTGTTGGTGGTGGTAGTGGTGTTGGTGGTGTTAATGATGGTGGTTGTGTTGGGGGTAGTGGTGTTGGTGGTCGTAGTGGTGTTGGTGGTAGTGGTGTTGGTAGTGTTGGGGGTAGTGGTGTTGGTGGTTGTGGTGTTGGTAGTGGTAGTGCTGGTGGTAGGGTGGTGTTGGTGGTATCATAGGCCTTGACCTGGTCAAGGCCTATGATACCATCAGTAGGCCTGGGCTCTGGGTTGTTCTTAATGCTTTTTGAGTACCTGACCCTCTGCTCACGATCATTAAGGACCTTCATGATGGTGAGCGGGCCCGGGTAAAACTACGTGGCCGGGAGTCAGAGCCATTCCCTGTACACCTTGGGGTACGACAGGGATGTCCTCTGGCTCCCACATTATTTAACATCTATTTTGACCACGTAGTTTGTGAAGCCTTCAATAGCTGTACCGGGGGAATCTCCATATGGTACAGATATAATGGGAGGCTGATCGATGCCCGGGTGCGGTCAAGGGATGGCTCCCTATTGCTCAACCACGTTATGTATGCTGATGATTTGGTAATAGCTGCTCATTCAGAGGAGGAGTTGGAGACGCTGCTGCTGAGACCGGAGCGTGCCACTAATAGATGGGGCCAGATGACGCCAAAAGGCGCACAGATAAATGGGTAAAAAAAAACAATTATATTTTGCTACTGGCAAAGGAGGTTCCAATGGTGTCTTATGGTTGATATTGTTTGACTTGCATCACACTGGAATTTTTGCACACAGCGTTGTAATACGGTGTGGGGGGGGGGGTTCTGGAAGATTTGCTGGTTTATCCCAGGATGTTTCTGTTGCGCGTTGTCGCTTTAAGATGTTTCTCTGTTCATATTTTGTTTGTTGCGGTTGCACCCGACTCAAGAGCCGCATGGCTCACAGGGCTATACCTAATAAATGAAACTTGAAAACTTGAACTTACCATCAGCACCACCAAAACTAAGCACCTGCCTGGGTATTTTGTACCATCGGACACTCCACCCCCACAACTCCCAATCGGGGATGGGGCAGTTGTGGAGAGAGTGGAGAGTTTCCCATACCTGGGCAGTGTGCTTATAACCGGCTCCAGTTTAACAGCAGAGGTCTCACTCCGAATCAGTCGAGCGGCAATATCTTTTCATTGGTTGCATAACGCTGTTTGGAAGCTACCTGGTCTTTCGCTCCGCACTAAGCTTCAGGTCTTCTCGGCCACGGTCATTCCCTCCCTTCTCTACGCTTGCGAAATGTGGACCCCCTAATGGAACATCTTCGCCGGTTAGAAACATTTAGGCTAGTCTGCCTACGATACATCCTGGGTTTAACCAGGCTGGATTGTGTGAGGAGCTCACAAATCCTTGAAAGATCTGGGCAAGGTCCCATCGGTGAGTTCCTCCGGCAGGCAAGGCTGCGTTGGCTGGGTCATGTAGCCTGCATGCCCAGCCACCGCATGCGAAAACAGCTTTTGTTCGGCCGGATCGAGGGGGCTAAACGGGCGCGGCATGGGCTAGAGAAGAGATGGAGTGATGTGGTACAGGAGGACGTGGAGCTGAGTGGACTTGCCGATGACTGGTACCAGCGGTGTCAAGATCGGCCTCTGTGCAGGAGGCTCGTAAAGGACGCTACTGGGCAGTTGGATGTAGTCGCCCTCCAACAACAATGGAGGGCGGAGGAGCGACGCTCACAACAACGAGCAGAGCGCCGGGTGGCTAAAGCACAGCAGGTTGGCACAGTAGGGGACACAGGTGGTGCATCAGCCAGTCATCTCAGTCAATCGACCCGTCGCACCTGGGTCTGCCCCGTGATCTACTCGCGGGCGTTCGGCGTTTCACGTGGCCTCAAGGTGCACATGGCCTGGCACAAGTGTCGTGGTGACGTCACCGCCACTTAGTGGCGAATGGCGGTTGTTATTGTTGTTGGTGGTAGTGGTGTTGGTGGTAGTGTGGTGTTGGTAGTGTTGGGGGTAGTAGTGTTGGTGGTTGTGGTGTTGTTACTGGTAGTGGTGGTAGTGCTGGTGGAAGTGGTGGTGTTGGAGGTAGTGGTGTTGGTGGTTGTGGTGTTGGTGGTGTTGTTGTTAGTGGTGGTAGTGGTGTTGTTGGTAGTTGTGGTAGTGGTGTTAGTGGTGGTGGTAGTGGTGGTGGTAGTGGTAGTAGCGGTGTTGGTGGTTTTGGTGGTAGTGGTGGTGTTGGTGGTAGTGGTCGTGTTGGTGATGGTGTTGTTGTTGTGGGGAGCGATAGTGTAGCGGTTAGCGCGCTGCGCTATGAACCCGGCGACACGGGTTCGATTCCCGCTCACGGCCAACACCAGTGGCCATTATCTTAACCGGTCCCGGGCCTCCCCTAGGTCGACTCAGCCTCAAATGAGTACCTGGTGCAGTGTGTAAACATTGCCACTAGGGAGACAAAGGCGGTCGGGCGTGGTGCTGGCCACCCACCCCCTCGTGTACCGTTACCGGCCTTCATAGGTGCCCGCTAACAGCACTTGCCCCTACAGTCTGTTAAGGCTATATGGGGGATCTTTGTCTTTGTCTTTTGTTGTTGGTAGTGCTGGTAGTGGTGGTTGTGGTGTTGTTAGTGGTAGTGGTGGTGGACTGTGACCATGTGTGTCGATGCGGTGTCTCTTGGCCAGCGGTGACGGTGCGAGAAGTTAACTTTAAGCTTGGGCCCAGTTTGGGCACCTTTATTAATTTAATTTTAGTGTTTACAATATAAAATAAACTAAATGCACCCGCGATTCCTAATGTGAGGGACAAATATAGAAGTCAAACTCCGCCAATGATTTTAAGTCTTCAACGTTGCTTCATTCGCTGCTTTATTTTTTTTTGGCGCCAAAAGTGCAAATACAAAATGGCGTCGGGAACTCCATTCCGTTTTATTTTTATTTATTTATTAACAATTAACGATCGTTGACAACTTTGTTATGGAAATTCTGAGGTAAATGAATATGCATAAAGGAATCGGAAGGTGGCTACAACGTTCTGAATGGTAAGGAAATATAGATGCCGTTATGTATGGAGCTTGTTCAATTTGATGTTTGTTTTTAAGTGTTAATGGTTAAAACGTACAAAATGGCTGTCTTCAGGTTGGTTCTGAGTCTTGATCGAGATGACCGCAGTGGCTGATTCAGATTGGAGAGGCGTTTTTGTTTTATTTATTCGTGATTAGTACGGTGTTATTTGCCTCATGAATATGATGAGATATGAAGATGTATTTATTATTATACCTAAATATTGTTTAATTTCTGTATAATAGCGATTTTGAATAGGAAACGTCGGCTAACTATATATTTGAGTATCTTTTGTTAAAGTACGTCTTGTGTTCAGTGCTGGTTCAATAAGCCATGGGGGGGGGGGGGGGGGGGGGGGGGAGCACAGTGGTGGATTGTGGCATGTGCTGTTTTTTCCTGTATTTTCTGTTTGCACAGTCACATAGTCACTTTAAGATGATTTTTTGTTCGTGTTTTTTGTTTGTTGTGGTTGTACTCGTTTCAAGAGCCGAATGGTTCA